GAGTGGGAGGATTGTCAAGGAACTCCTGGCCCTTGAGTGCTCTTTTTCAGGCCTCTTCTCTGCCCAGAAAAAGGAAGTGAAACAGCTTACCCTCTGTCTACACCTCTGCAGCAAAGTGATGCTGGACTCTGATCCCCAGTTTTCTAGAAATGGGCAGAGGAGGATCTAGAAATCTCTGGCTCATCCTCCTCAGACATTTTAGGATAACCATAATGTCTTCTGGAATTGGGAGAAAATTGGTCAAGGAGACTCTCCCTCCTCCACTCTCAGTATTCCTCAGATTTATGGCTTCAGATAAGATGGTAACTTCCTGAATCTGGTTTCTTCTAAGCCCTACTGGCAGGCGGGGCTGATGTTAAGTCCTGACATGTCCGGGCAGGCCTGGCACTCTTCCAGACCAGACCGTACTGGGCACCAGGCCACACTGAGCACCGCAGGGAGGCTGTGCCCTGAGGTCTTTGGCCTCTCATTCTCTCTGCTGCTGTGGAAACTCCTTATGCAATCAGTCTAAGCAGAGAGGTGTTCAGTAAAATGCAACTGGTCATTAAAAATTGCTGGGAGTTTAGGCTTAGAAAATCTCGGTTACAGTGGCCAGTAGGTAGTCCAGGAGTTAAGATCCTGGACTCGCACATGGTTGACTGCAGTTTGAGTCCCAGAATTGGCAGCTTGAAACACTAGGTGCTTGAGAATGCATGCCCCAAATCTCAGGAGTAGAGTATAGGAGAAGGGATTGAGGTATGGCGATCCCCCCTGGGGGGTGGTTTCTCCTTTCTGTCTCTCCGAAGAGCACACACACCCTATAGCAAAAATCTCTCCAAAAAAAGGGAGAAAATCGCAGTTACAACAAAGGTCAAGTTCACAGCACAAAACACACCCTGCACAGCCACCTCCACCCCTGCACACCAGGCCTGAAGTTTGCTCCCACTCACAGCAGGACCTGGGGCTCTGCTGCCATCAGCAACATCACCACAGGCAGAGACCTTCGAAGTCCCTGCTCCCTCCCACACTGGATGCCGGTTTCAATTCTGAGGTCTGGGCACTTGTAAGGGATCAGTTCATCTGGGCTCTCTCTCAAAACTGTCTCAGGTGTATACTGGTAGTCCAGTGTCCCAGAGAACCCTCTGTCCTAGGCAAACCAGGATGGCTGATACATTTATTTCCTGGGGTTGTTGTAACAAAAAGCCACACACTGGGTGGCTTAAAACAACAGATTTATATCTGAAGACCCTAAGGGGGTCCTTTCTTCCTGGTTTCTTCTAGCTTCCAATGACCCCAGGCATTCATTTAAAAAAAATTTTTTTTAAATGTCATTTATTATTATTTTCAGCTTGCTATAGGGCTCTGTGCACTCACCAGAGAGAAAGAGAGAGGGAAAGTGAGAAAGCAAGCCACCGGGTCCAGGATTCAAACAATAGTCAGCCCTCTGGGAGTCCAGAGCCTTCACCACAATGCCACTGCTGGCCCCTATTATTTTAATGTCTGCATGTCTGAGTGGATGTCAGACAGGAAGTTTTTCCAAGGTATTAAAATGTGTTAAACAAAGAACTTGGTGTATTCTCTAGTTTGTCTCTGAGTTCAGTTGACTAAAAATGTGTTGCTAATAGTCTGCCTTCACTTTCTACAATCATTTTCCCTTTTTTTGCATATCAATTTGAATATATTTATTTTAATTTATTTTGATACGATATTAGAAGGGACTGCATGTAATTATGGAGACTGCTGCGAACATTTGATGCTACTGTTTATGAAGCATCAGGCATATGTAATAGTTACCTTTTAAAAGTTCTCATGTATATATCTTAACATATGTATCTTAAGCTACAATATATACCTTTTAACTTTTTTATTATAGAGAACCTCCCCATACATGAGTGGAGTAGCACAGGAACCTGGATGTTTTCACCAGCTTCAGCAATTACTGCATTCTGTTTCCTCTGATCTCCTGATGGGTCCCAGACAGCCTTAATTGTGCACCTGTAAACAGCGCAGCAAGAACTGCATGTGTTTTTAAAGAATTATTGAATTTTATTTATCACTATTACTCATTTTTAATTTGCTCCAGGGCATGTACGCTCTCCAGAGAGATGGGGGTGGAGTATGTGAAAGCAAGCTGCCAGGAAGGGACTTGAACTGTGGCCAATCATGTGGGAGTCCAATGCTTTAACCACCACACCACCTGCTGGCCAAGCTACATGTTCAAATGTTTAAAGCATTTAGTAATTTTTTTTTTTTTTGAGAGATTTTCACTGTAGGGCGCGTGCGCTCGCCAGACAGACAGAGACATAGAAACAGAAAGCGAGAAATCACCCCTCAGGGGGGATGGTCAGGCCGCAATCCCTTCTCCTCCATTCTCCTCTCGGGATCCTGGGCACGCACGCACACGCGCCCGGCGTGAGTTTTAAGCCACCGGGTCCGGGACACGAACCGTGGTCGACTACGTGGGAGTCCAGTGACATAGCCATTACGCTAACTGCTGGTTCCCCAACATTTAGTAATTTTTAAAAATGATCAATAATTGACCTATGTCTAATTAGGGAAAAATTTTTTTTCTCCTGTGTCACACACAAAAGTAATAATAAACTTTACTTCTCAAATTGATATTTATTTTATAAATGTTACCCTTAAAATTCTAGAAGTAAGGACCAGCAGTTGGTATAATGGCTATGTTGCTGGACTCCCAAGTGGCCCACCATGGTTTGAGTCCCAGATCCTGGTGGCTTAAGCTCACGCAGGGTGTCTGTGGATGCATGCGTGCCCAAGATCCCAAGAGTAGAATGGAGAAGGGATTGCAGTGTGGCCATCCCCCCCACCCCGTGGGGGTGTGATTTCTCGCTTTCTATCTCTCTCTCTCTGTCTTTCTGGCGAGCACAAGCACCCTATAGCAAAAACCTATGGCGAAAACCTCTTAAAAAAAAAAAATCCCGGAAGTAATGAACATTATCATAGCTACTCAAGAACCACAATTTATGACAGCAGTCTGCCCACTGCACACTCAAAGCATGCCAAACTTTTAGGGATCACATGATTAAAGTGACTTGCTAGTGGCTACACATGACAATAACTGAATATATCAGCCTTTTCTTTTTATTCTGGGTCTCTTTATTCAGAACTAAATAAAGGTTTTCATTAATATAGATTTTTTTTTTAATTTAACACTAACAGAAGCGTAGATAACACGGCACTAGCAGACGGCGGAATGGTTACGTCACTGGGCTCCCACGTAGTCCCCACGGGGTGGCGGCGGGGGCCTTGAAACTCACACCTGACGAGTGTCCGCACGCATGTCCAAAATTCCGAGTGGAGAATGAAGGAGAAGGGAATGCGGCGGGGCCATTCCCCACCCCCACCGCCGTCCTGTCTCTCTCTCTCTGGTGAGCACACCTGCCCTAATAGCAAAAATCTCTAAAAAAAAAAAAACCCAAAACCCCAAAACAAAAAATCCTCATGGGAGATGGCGTGTTTAGGAGGGTGGGCAGCGGGGCTCCACCTCGTTTCACAGTTGGGGGAACTGAGGCACGGGGGTGCGCTTGGCCGCCGCCGCCAGGGACAGGGCCGATGGGCGTGGGCGCGGGCGAGGAGGCGACCGCACGCGCGCACCGCAGAAGAGCAAGGTCCGCCGTGCCCCGGGTGGGTGAGGGGAGCGGGCGCGCGCGCCCTGAGAGGCCGCACCGTGGCTCGC